AACGTGGCCTACAGAAATATTAGACCGTTTGGGAATTGGGGCGTTTTCAATCTAGAGGGGGCAAAGTTTGTCTATTTAATTAAGTACTAAAAAATCGTAAATACCCATTTGCTTTCTAGTTGGATCGTAAGATAATTTGATCATAAAATCGATAAAAAAGGTGGCCTGCAGAAATATTGGGCCGTTTGTTCTACATAACGCCGTTATTTTGAAAATTTGGGGGTTTCACATTTTTTATCGACATTGTGCTCAAATTATCTTACGATCCAAGTAGAAAGCAAATTGGCATTTACAAGTTATTAGTACCTAATTAAATAGACAAAGTTTGTCCTCTCCAGATTGAAAACGCCCCAATTTCAAGAGTTTTCGTAAATAAAATAGTTGTAGGTTACGATGAGATGAAACTATTTATAAAGGTTTCAGGCGGATGTCAATAATTCGATAAAAAGAGATCCGTACCACGGAATAAAATCTTAAAGCCATTAGTAACTTAAAAATCCGAAATGTTGCAGTGTATCGATGACTTATAATCGATATTATTTTCATAAAGAGCTCCTTTCAATATCAGCTGTTTAAAAAATAACCTTTCTTAGCTATATTATCTCTATTTTTATCTACAATATATTGATTGAGAAATGATACATTATTTATTAATTGTCAGAATAATTTATGATTAAAATCATTTTAAACTTAAATAGGTTCATCTCATCATGATCTACAACTATTTCATTTACGAAAATTCTCGGATTGAGGCGTTTTCAATCTGGAGATCGGCAAACTTAGTCTATTTAATTAGGTACTAAAAACAAACCAATTTGCTTTTCAAATGAATCGTAAGATAATTTGAACACAAAATCAAGATGAAAGGTTGCCTCTATAACTTCGTTATTTTGACGTGTTAGGATTGTAGGTCGCTCCAAACAGGTCAATATTTTTTAGGCCACCTTTTTTCTCGACTTTCTGATTTGGGTTGGTTAAGTTGAAATGAAGTTATTCACGAAGTTTCAGGCAAATGTTAATAGTTTGATAAAAAGGAGTATGTACCACGGACTCATGCATTTATAAAATGAGCCATTAAGAAAGAATTTCTAATTAGTTTATGAACACAATTGATAGTTATTTAAATATTATAATATAATAATGCTCACCTGTGACTAGCTACCCTGCCCAAGCTCGGCAACAAACTGATTTCTAATCTTTAGTGTTTACTTCATTTCTCTTGTAATGACTATCCCCACTCCATGGCACAACGTAACGGGGCAAAAGAACTCAACTAGCTGCAGAAGAAATAGATTAAGTTCGAACTGAGTCCTTCGCGAACGATCAACAACTGTTCATAAAGAAACAATTAAAGAACGGTCTTGATAATTGATATTGTAATAATAATTGATTGAATCCCATATTGGGATTATCAATGGTCAAATTTACAATGATCCTAAAATTTAACAACAAAAAAAAAGATATATATATATATATATATATAGAATAGAATAGAATAGAATAGAAAATTAAACTTTATTCTGGGACTAAGTCCCTTTAGAATCACAATGATGAGTTAATACAAAGTAAAGTACAAATCTGGCCAAAAACTAACTTCTAAAAATTTTAATATTATATACATTATTTAAAAACTATGTAACCGGTAAAAATATATATATATATATATATATATATATATATATATATATATATATATACAAATGAACATAAAATCTTCTCAAAATTACTTAATTGTGATGAAAAAAAAAAAAGAAGAGAAATTACATATTTATATATACATAACAACACAATTTAAAAACAATAGGCTATCTAATAGAAAACTAACTTAATATAAAATGTAATAATATCTGCAGTGATTTATATAATAATATGTAGACACTAAGATAAAATAAAATCTTAGGATTACTTGTGGTGTAATGGAAAAAAATAAATAAATAACAGGAAATATTTATACGTACATTCTCATATTACACAGAAAGACAAAAATATAAAATATAAACATATATACCCGAAAGAAAAAGCACAACCTGAGGCGAAGAGAAAAAAAAAAAAAAAAAAAAAATATATATATATATATAATATATATATATATATATATATATATATATATATATATATATATATATATATATATATAATTTAACAAAAAAAAACATATATATATATATATATATATATATATATATATATATGTGTATAATCAATTAATACGTAGTGTATGTATAAGCATGATGTAAATAAAAACTAAAACATAATAATAATAAACTGTGGCTTCTTATCAAAAACGGACATGGTCATATTTAAAAAGTCGAGAGAAAGCCATTTTTTTCAGATCATAGTTTCACTTCAAACCTATTCTGATTATATTTTTTTTAATTATTATTTTTCTATTTTTATTTTTTATTTTTTTTTTAACTTGAAGATTCTTAAATACAGTTTGACTTGAAGGAGAGAGAAATGTTTTATTTAAAGCAGTGCTTCCCTACTATATAGGGTTGCTCGATACACAGCTTACTCATCAATCCTTTTTTTTTGGACATAGCACTTAATTACACTGTAATCATATGTTTATATATATATACAAATTCTTTTTCATTTTACACAGCATAAACAATATTAATACTATAATATACTAATACACACAATTACAATTATACAATATATACATTTTTAAAACCGATACAAGACAATAAGGGAAATTTATAGGGCAAAATAAAATTTAAAAAAATATGGTATTCGAATGCCAAAGTTTAAAACCAGAAAATTAGAACGCACACACAGCAAGTAACATAGTAAGCTACATCGACAAAAAGATCATCACTTAATCACTTAAAATTAAATGAATAACGATATAATAAATAAATAAAACAAAAATTTAATTTTTCTCCACTTTCTGAAAATGACAGATGTCTAAAAGATTTAAATATATATTGGGCCGTTTTTTTTGGCCTTTATGACCTCGGTATTTTGACATATTGGGAATGGAGATCATACCAAATTGACTATTATTTTTGTACGTCACTTTTTTTTCGATTTTTTAAACATATTATCCTACGATTCAAGTGTAAAGCAAATGGGTGTTAATGAGACTTCAGTACCTCAATAAATTTAAAATGTTACTAATCTCTTGATTAAAAAGTTTAATTTACGAGTTTCCTATATACAAAAATTCTCAGCAAAAAAGTAGGAAATCCAACTTTAACTTTTTTTTAAGTAACACATGCTTTTTGATGAATAAGAATAGATATATTTTAAAAAATCACAAATTATTGACGATATTTTTTTTTTATGATTATCAAAATATACAACAGATACTCTATTTTTAGAAAAACTTCTTTGTTTAATTAGCTTCTATTAATCAATATTAATTAAATTGAGGTTAATTAGGTAAATTCTTGAGAATTAACATCAAAAAGATATTGTGATTTTTCTTATTGTAGCCTAAAAGCACCTGTGTTTTCAATAAAATTGACTACAATTAACTGTTGCAAAGCTTTATTTTCTTGTTTTTCTGTAATCTAGGATATATTATGATAAAAATAATTACCTAAATACACTTTTATTTTTATAGTGAATCCGTGAAAAATTTAATTGTGCTTTTTTAATGTTTAAAGAAAGTTATCTAATAGTTTCTTAAAATATATGCATTTTTTATGTATGTTTATTAAATCGTTCCTTAAATTAAACTTATTTTCCTTTTGGACCTAATAAGCTAAGCTCTGATAAAAACCAAAAAAAAATTAATAATTAAAAAATTGAATATAAAATAGTGGTATTAGTTTTGAAGAAGGAAGACAGGAGTATGTACTGGGATTTATTACTGCTGCAATAAGCGGCAACGCAGGAATATCAGATCTGGCAACGCTGGGATCGCTTTAATAGCTTTCAAATTATTAAAAGAACAAAATTAAAAATCAAACTTGAGAATCATTATATTTCTTTCACTGTTTAAACACTTTCTGTTACAGGACCCTCTGTATATGTTTACCGTTGAACTTATATTTATCCATTATAATATTAATAAAAGTGATTTGAAAATAATAAAGTGTAATTATTTTTTTAAAATTAATATATTACCATATATATAATATGTTAGCATCTCAAGAATTTAATGTGTTTTTTTTTATAACTTTTTTTTACTTCATAAACCTATTTAAAACAAACTAATTAATTAATTAAAAATATTGTAACTAAAGTTTTTTTTAGCCACCCCCTCTCCATTACTAGAACAATTTGGTTTTGAGGTGTCCATCACTATTCTAAAAAAGATGTTTTGTTTTTTTAAATGAAGATTATACCTGCAAAACTGAATATTTTATTTTATTTTAATGTTTTAAATAAAAAAACGAGACAATAGAGATTTTAAATGTCCAACAGAGAAATTTTCAATTCTAATAATTACGACGCCATAAAACAAAAAAGACAAAAATTTGCTTAGCTCCGTCCATTACTGGTCCGCTTACCCTAATGTAGGAACTTTTCAATGTTGTGGAGATGTTTGACCGTTATTATAATACTATTTTGTCGGTTACGCCGACGTTTCGGCACACTTTTTAATTTCTTCATCAGGGCTTTAAAAGTTACAAAATTTAAAAGGTATAAAGTAAAAATAAAATAAATGAATTATTAGTAGATATTAAATAAAGAATTAAGAGAACTAACAAGATGGCATTTATTGGGTGTTAGTATAATCTATATATATAATTTATAAATATTTATTTATGTTTTAACTATATTACTACCCAATACATCACTGATCTTGTTAGTTCTGTTATTTCTTTATCAAACAACTGTTACTTATTTAATATATACTAATAATTCATTTATTTTATTTTTACTTTAAACCTTTTAAATTTTGTAACTTTTCTTTATCAAACAACTGTTACTTATTATCACTGGTGCGCTTACCCTACATACTATTAAATTTTATAAATAAAATGGATCGTTTATTTTACTGGAAAAGAAAATAAGATGGACGAGAGAACGAGGTTGGCCAACAGATGATAGCCGTAATCCGGCAATATTTAGGGCTCTCCAGGACCCGTAACTTATATTTTAGCGCCCGTGATTCAAACCCTTGCACTCCTAGAGGTCCTGCCGTACATTATGGCGTCGCGATTTATAGCAGTTTGTACAATTTTATTAGCTATTTATTATTTATAAATGGCAAAATATCGCATTTCGATATTTTTAAAGATAGCTCTTGCTACTTAAAATACAAAATACGACGGATAGATATGCTAAGTATGTTATATATCAATGACAAATGTATTCTATAACTGGTACTGTGTGTGTGGTAAAAGCATAATTTATTTACAGGAAATGGACTCATAAATAATTTATACATTTCTGAAATATATATATATATATATATATATATATATATATATATATATATATATATATATATATATATTAAATGCCTTATGCGAGTCAGTATGATTATCATCAAAGGTTGGTTTTATCATCTTTATTAAAAAAAAACGCTGAAAATTATTTCACAATGGTTTATTATTTCCAAACAATTATACATCCAAAGTAAATTTACCTCAATAGTTACAAAGAAAAATAAATAAAAGTTGATTCCAATTATTGGACTAAACTTTTACTTTTTTTAATCATTAGTAATATTCTATTAAAAATAATATTACTTTAGTAACACATTCAAAATTTAAAAACCAAAACAAAGGATATAACCTTTGCAGTAGAACATAAAAAAAAACTAGAGACCATATCTTTGCTCCTTGTTGTCCGATTTTAACGATTTTTTTTTTTTTTTAGGAAATTCCGTTAAGTTTTAAAAAATCGGAATTTCATTTTACCATCCCTCGTAACTTTTTTTTCAGCTTCTTTTCGAAGTATGGTATATAGATAGCTATAGAGTCTATAGCAACGGAGCTTTTTCGGCCGCCATTTTGAAAGTAAAAGGCGGATAGTAATGTCGATGAAGGAGGATCATCCTCGGGTGACCTCTGATTTTATATCAAAATTTGAATGGACAAAAATATTTGTATTCGTTTTTCGAATTCTACGTATCCTGAAACGTGAAACCTCAAATTTTGAGAGGGGGTTTTGAATTTTGTGTTGGATTACAATGGTTCATTATTGAAAATAATAAACCAAAATATTTAAAACCTACTTTTTTTCGACTGTATTCTTCCTTTAGGGGTTTTTCCTGAGACAGGGAAGAAGGCGGGGGAATGTCAATTACAAATTTCTTATATTTTTTCTTGACATGTAACATTTCAATGATAATAATAAAAGGTTTAGCTAACCGGAAGGTTCTAGTACGGGTAGGAAAGCAAAAAGAACTTGGATATTTGTATTATTGTTTGACTGGGGAAGGTAAACAGTGAGAGGACGAAAGGGGAGGGGGGCGTGACGATAATGTGGGGCAGGAACGCTGAGGGAGATCGAACTGTTTGTCGGCAAATGTTAACAGTTAGTTCTGCCCTTTCGGGACAGTTGGCATTTCTGTTCCGCTGACATATATATCCAATGGCGATAGTCATCGCTTGTCGGCAACATCGCAAAAAGTTAATGTTTTTAAGCGATTTCTAAGTTTTTTTTTTTTTTTTTAACTTTTTTATTGAAACATATTACAATATGTTTCAAAGGACATTTATAATAGTGTTCAGAGACCACATGGACACTGATTTCTAAATTAAATACATTTTCTTAATTAAATACATACACATCAAAAAAAGTACCTAGTGACTTCTTGCAATAAACCGATTTTATAAATATATATAACAATACAATATTTTTATTGATCGACTTTTATATTTATTATTACTTAAAATAATAAGTATAGGATATATGAAATGAAATAAATAAAAATATTTTTATTTTGTATTTGTATTTAACAAATTATGAACACAGAGAAACGGCCTGTACGGTCATACATTAAATTAAATATTTACAAAACAATATATAATTACAATAAAAATATAGGAAGAAAAAAAAGTAACAGGACAGTTTAAAAACAAAGCAACAGTTTAAAAATGAAAAAAAAAAATAAACCTGGTTACACTTACCCCACTGTACCTTATATATATATATATATATATATATATATATATATATATATATATATATATATATATTTTTTTTTTTTTTTTCTGTTGCCATTACGGACCATTTAGATCTTTTACCGCCTTAACAAGCCTGCTCCCTGTCTTGGGTTATTTTTTTCCATTTATATGCACGCAGCTCTGTTGCATCTTTGTGGTCTTTTATCTTCTATTGAGACTCCCAGATGGATTGCTACGAGCTACATGCCCCGCCCATCTTAACCTCAGTGCCTTCATATCATGCTATATTGATTGGCCATTTTCCATAAGCAGTTCTTTAATGGTCTTTCTTCTCAATGTGTTAGTACTTCGATTCCAGATCTCTCCGGTCATCTTGCGGAGGATTTTCCTCTCAAATCTTTCAAAACTTTTTTCTTGGGTGCTGGTTAATGTCCAAATCTCACTGCCTACACATTGTACACACTGTTTTTAAGATTTTTCTGTATTTCAATACCTTTGAGAGGCAGAAAAAAACTCTGTTTGCTACGCTAGTTATACGCTTTTATATATTTATATATGTGTATGTATATGTATATGTATATATATATATATATATAATATATATATATATATATATATATATATATATATATATATATATATATATATATATACAACAGATTTAGACCTAGGATCGATATCACTAATGCCCGATGGACGATAAGCTGACGCAAGCAGGACACCCTAGCTAGTCCCTATCCTTCAACACCCTCGGGAGGGGAGGGGGTGACCATTCCTTCCAGGTCTGGGTTTTATTGTCCCGTTAATTATCCTGCCATCCCGGAGGATCCTGAAGGTGTCCTTCTGATTTAATGTCTTCATTGCCAGCCAGCACTGATAGCTTTAACGTTTCTATATTGATTAACCCTTGCCACAGGCGGATCTACGGGTTTTTTTTTTTTTCCTGTTGAAGCCTCCCTCCCCCCCTAAAATGGTAAAATATAACTATGTTTTACAGGAAAAAATATTAAAAACTATCTCTTAAAGTATTCTTGTACGTTTAATTACATTTAATACGACTTCAAGAACCACTTAAACACCATTTCATATTGGTAGTTAATTAATTATCATTATATGTATGTGAAAAAAAATCAATCGGGCTGAAGCCCCCCAAAAAAAAAAATTAAATCCTGGATCAGCTAGTGACCCTTGCAATTATATAAACCTTGTCATCATTTTTTCATTATTTATTACACAAACTGAGAACTGCTTGGATTTTAGTTCAGCTTTAAATCTATACTTATTAATAAATTTATATTTATTGATTCTGAACTTGATTTTATTCAGAGAAGGACAAAATTTATTTTATTCGATTACGCATACTGAAACGCAAAACTTCAAATTTTGAGGGGAAGTTAAGTTTTTCATTTTTTTTTAAACGATTAAAATAGTTCATTATTGAAAATAAACCAAAATTACCCATATTTGGCTATTGTTTTTCAATTATCTACATGCACTTCTGCTCTATTATTGAACTCTTGCATATATTTTTATTAAATAGTCTTTATTGAGATATTACAATCTGTCACATTCAATGACAATAGTAATAGTGATGCAGAGTAGCTCATTCATGCCATAAAGTAAATAAAAATAATAAACAGCAATATAATAATACTAAAATAATTTGTATATGAACTAAAAGACACGAAACTAAATTAAAATAAACTAATCTAACAAAATAAATACTTGATTATAATTAAAGCGTTCATTGTTGTTTAGAGGCTTCCAACTACTCTTCTCCATGGGTTGGTACTCTTTTCTAAAAAGATAAAATCGGACATTTTGCTGCAAAGATATGCTATCCTAAATATTTCCCAGGTATTCTACTACTGAGCTCATATCCTTTATTTTGGTTTTTGATTATTGCAAAATGTTACATCAACTGAAGCAATTTTGTCTTCTTTTTTTAGCAATTTTTTTTTTTATTTATTGAAAAATGTTACAATCTGTCTCAAGGACATTTATAATAGTGTTCACAGATCAAATTCACACTCTATGTAAATTATACAGAAAAATAGTATATATACAATAAATAAGAATAAAATAACCTAAAAATAAATAAATAAAAATAACACATACATACCTATATACAATACTTATCAAATTAAGAACGGTGAATAAAAAATATTGTTTAGGTCAATATTAGGAATCACATGTTATTTATTTTTCTTTATGTTACAAGGAAAGTAATGTTACTTTTGATATATAATTATTTGGAAATAATAAAACATTGTGGAATGATTTGTAGCTTTATAGTTTTTATAGATATTTAGGAACTTTATGAATAAATCAGTTTTAACTGAAATGGTTATTCATTTATCTGTGACCATCATAATTGTTTAATTTTAGAATAATCACCATTGTGCTAACTTAATATTTTACCATATTGTACTTAATATGATAGTATCAATGATTTTTCCTTGAGAACTATAATTAAAATGGGCTAGATTAAAATCATAGAAAACGTTTTTTATGAGAAGGAGTTAATTGGGGGGTGCGGTCAAATAAATACTAAATTAAAATATAGTAATTATTTAATTAATTAATATTGATATTTTAATTTAGTATTTATTTGACCGCACCCCCCAATTAACTCCTTCTCATATTATATCAACGGTCAACTATCTCTAAATCTTTAAAAATGTTTTTTAATTTCACAATTTTATTAGGGGTTTTTTTATACTATCGCAGTTTTATAGCTTGCTAATTCCCAACGCCAGAATTGTTAGAATTAATTCAGTTGTAATAGCCAATGAGAATGGCCTATGTAAATTAGGTCACAGAGTTGAATGGAGCCAATGAGAAAGAGGCATTGCATTGCATGCTGCCATTAAATCACTAAATGAGTCGGAAAATTCAAATCGGCTCTCGATTTTTTATGCTTCAGAAAATGTTATTAGGAAATGTTATTGCAACCGTAGGAATTCAAACTGCCCCATAAAGAGTCTGAATCATGAACTCGAGAAATGAAGAAATATCTTTAATTATATTAAAATATATAACTATCATTATTATTATTGATATAAAACTACTTATACTGTGACAGTAAGACGTTTTGAGTATACAGTATCCTTATCTACATGATATGACAATAAATCTAGTGGTTATCATTAAAAAAATTGCGATTATAGAACAGCTGACTGAACACAATACAACTATAAAAACAGCTGACGTTAATATTATTTTAACATAGTCATTATTTAAAAATTTAATTAAAATAAAAAATTTCGGGACTATCGGCCCCTCCGTTCTTAATCCCCAAAACGTACTATTTTCGAGATAACGCAAGGCATGGGGTTCGCATCCACACAACCGGACGTTAATTGTAGTACTGTCATTGGATACATGTCTCATTTCGTCGACTTGAGGTCTCTATGATCGAGAGAGGAGGAGTTTATATTGTTTATCAAAGTTTTTTTTTTTTTTTTTCAGTGAGCCTTGTCATCGTTAATTCTTGAGCTATCCGTTTTCAAGGTTTTCTTCTCCTTCAGACGAGAAAAATAGTTCATTCAAACCTAAAATTCAGGCAAAAAGTTAAGAAAGAAAAAAAAAATTATTTGCGAATAACACGAAAATTACACACTTTTCTCTTGGTTATGCCTATGATTGTATACATGATTACTAAATTTCCTACTGAAAGAAAAAAAATAATCGAAATCGTACAATTATTAGCAATGCTACAGCTTATTGAAATTTGAAAGGATATTGGTTCTAATAATTAATGAAGTTTTTTTCCTTAGTCGATTATATTTATCGAGAAAGTAATAATTGATTTCTCTATCTTATGATACCTTACATTATTTTCTTTTATTATTAAATTGTCATTCGATCACTGGACAATATACTTTGCGAGTTTTTCGCACGTACCAACTAGTTATTAATTATTACTTTTTTTTTTATTGATGATATTTACAACTGTATTACAAGTAAAAATACATTCAGTAAATGTGAACAAAAGAATATTACAACATGAAATCACTTGTTGAGAAACTACCCACTGGTAGCACTCTAAAAATGTATTTACAAAAGAAGATCTCGAGGCCATCTTCTTTTCAGACGCCTCTGAGGGTTGTCAGGGATCGAGAAGGAAGCAAGGCTAGAAACGAGAGGGTTAGGATGGTTCTAAAGTTTGGTATGGAAGATAGGTATCTGGATTGGGCCAGGTCAGAAACATAAGGAACATTAAGGTCATTATGGATGATTTTGTTTGTGACAAAGTAAGGAGCTGTGGGGATTTTACGAAGGATTTTGGATTGTAAGGATTGGATACGAGGGGAATTCGATGGTTTAGTGGAGCCCCAGAGCTCAACTCCGTAAGTCCAAATAGGTCTTATTGTAGTCATGTATATGAGTCTTTTGTAATTGACTGGGAGCTTATAGCGTTTGTCTAGTAAGTGCTGGAATTTTTTTTTTTTTTTTTTTTTTTTATAGTTCTTATTGAGATATATTACAATATGTCACATTCAACGTCAATAGTAATAGTGATAAAGAATGGATCATTCATACTATGCACAATAAATAAAAATAATAAACAGCAATATAATAACACTAAAAGTAAAAGTATATAAACTAAAATAAGCAAAAATAAATTAATCTAACAAAATAAATACTTAAATAAACACATGCTTTTATACAATATTTACAATATTCATTCACTGAAGATCTCCGAGCCTGCTTTTCTAAGGAGGGAAAGGCAGGACTCTAGGAGATCCCAGAGTCTTTCACTCAGCCGCCTCATTGTTATTACCAATGGAGGCTGAGCACAGACACTATAACCAGACTTGAGTGAATTGCTTGAGTGGAGAATCTGGTCATTGTCAGAACTCCAATATATTCTTACCAGTGTCTGGGCCCCTTCAATCTTCGAGGAGGATTGTAGGGATGAGTAGAGCTATAGAGGGATTGTGCAAAGGGATTTGACGATATGCACTAGCGGATCCAGGATTTAATTTTGGGGGGAGGCTTCAGCCCGAAAGCTTTTTTTTTCATAAAAATAACGATAATTACTCTGGGAAAAAAGAGGGAAACTAATTACCTATATGAAGTGGTGTTTAAGTGATTCCTAAAGCCCTTTTAAATGTAATTACACGAACAATATTACTTCGAGAGATAATTTTTTTTTTTTTTTTTCGATTAAACATGATTTTATTTTCCGATTTTTGGGGGAGGGCTTCATCCCAAAAGCCCCCTCCCCGTTGATCCGCCCGTGATGATATGTAAGATTTTGGTGGAATTTGGAAAAATTTTGAGGGATAAGGTCTAGGACAAATGGGATATTAAGATCATTGTGTAGGGTTCCGTTGGTAACATAGAAAAGAGCATCAACTATTGTTAGAAGGACTTTGGACTGAAAGGATTGAATGCGTTGATATTAGAAAATGTTGCCTTCCCCGCACAGTTCCATTACTTATATTAGTTATTACTTATATTAATTATTACTTATATTATTTTTTACTTGGCAGGTGGACAATATCCGAGCCTGCTTGAGCGCGGCCGATAGACTTGGGGTGCGCCTGGAAGGTGTGACCGCCCGAGACCTGAGAGAGGGCAGCCTCAAGGCAATCCTCGCCCTCTTCTTCAGCCTCTCCAAGCACAAGCAGCAGCTCAAGCTACAGGCAGAGCAGACCAAGCAGAGGAAGCACGACGAGATGTTGTCCAGGTGAGTCCACCAGTACTTGTACCTCACAGGGCTATAGTTACCTTAAGGCCTCCGGACGTTTTGGTCTGCAGGCCACCTTCAACAAGTCTCCAGGGCCAGTTTTCCTGAAAAAAAATATATCGATTTACGAATTTTCAAAACCATTGAAAGTCAAATATGTCTCATTTAATGGTGAACGCACCAGTTATGTACAGAGGCTAGTGTTGTCCAAAATTGTCCCAAAAAATTTTGCAAGACCAAATTCAGGACTGCTGAAAAAAATAGATTTTTTTGCATAAAAATAAAGGCAAAATGGCTACTAATACATGATAATCTTAGTTACTATATCTTAATAATTGATAATTGGGGCTCCACTAAACCATCGAATTCCTATCGTATCCAATCCTTACAATCCAAAATCCTCCGTAAAATCCTTAATGCTCCATACTTTGTCACAAATAAAGCCATTCATAAAGACCTTAATGTACCATATGTCGCTGATTTAGCTAGAGCCAGATATCTATCCTTTCATGATAAACTTCAGTCCCATCCAAATCCGCTTGTTTCCACTCTTGCTTCTTCCTCGATCCCTGATAATCCTCCTAGGCGTCTGAAAAGGAGATGGCCTCGTGATGTTCTTACTTAAAATTATTTAGAGAGTGCTACCACTGGGTAGTAACTCTTTAAGCCTGTACATGCCATTATTTATATTTGCGCATATTTACTTGTTGTATTTGTATACAGTTGTAAATTTCATTAAATAAAATAAATAAAAATAATTGATAACGATTTTACAAGGTTGCTTGATGATTTTTTTTTTAATAAACGGCCGATAGATGGCTCTCAAAGACTCGTCTCGGTCTCGCATTTGAGCAATATTGACAGGGGCAAAGGAATAAATTTAAAGGACATGTTGGACTTTAAATATAAATAATAAGCTTCCTTGTTGATTTAAAGGTTCTAGTTTTTTTTCTAGATTGAAGAAAAATGTCCTCTATTAACTACTGTATGAACAAAGTTCCAAAAACATTGAAAGTCAAATATGTCTTTCATTTGGTAGGGTGAAAGCACCAGTTATATACAAAGGCTAGTGTTGCCCAAAATCGGTCTTTGTCTTGAACTTCGTAAGACCAAGACCAGGACTGGTAAAAAAAATCGATTTTTTGCATAAAAATTAAGACGAAATAGCTAGTAATACATGATAATCTTAGTTACTATATGTTAATAATTGGTAAAACCAATATACTTTTGCATTTAACTCTTCTAATTTTTCATTCGGGCTTAGTTAGGTTTCTCCTATCTAAAAAATTACAGTAATATCTCAATAGTAATAAGCTAATAAGTAACTGCAAGACTGTTGCGAGACTCTTGCGCAAGACCAAGACCATGATCAAGACTGAGTTTGCAAAACCAAGACACGTCTCGGTCTCGCATTTGGGAACTAATAAGAGCACATTGAAGGACAGGTTGGACTTTAAATGTAAATAGTAATTTTGTAGTTTTTTGTATATTGAAGAACAATGACCTCTATTGGCAACTGTATGAACAAAGTTCCCAAAAGAAAATTTTAAAATGTCTATAATTGTTGTTTCTATAGTGCTCTTGAGATCGGTTAGTTTCATATCTTCATACTAACAGTTTTGTTAAGAATAAGTTTAACATTTATCTTATCTTATCTTTATTGTTAAATAAAGATTTTAGAATATTTCTGAGGTATGTCCATTACTGGTACCGACCTCCTGTCCATCACTAGAACAATTCATTCTCGAGGTGTCCATCACGAGTGTAAATATTTTTTTTTTTTAAATAAAGATTATACCTGCATAACTGGATATTTATCAATTTTACAGTGTTAAATATAAAAATGAGACCCTAGAGATTCTAAATTTCCAACAGAGAAGTTTATAACTAGTGTTGCCCCAATACGAAACCGAGACGAGTCTTGGTCTTTCAAACTAAGTCTTGGTCATGGTCTTGGTCCTGCGCAAGAGTCTCGCAACAGTCTTGAAGTTACTTATTAGCTTATTACTATAGAGATATTACTGTAATTTTTTAGATAAGAGAAACCTAACTAAGCCCGAATGGAAAATTAAAGGAGTTAAATACAAAAGTATATTGGTTGTACCAATTATTAACATATAGTAACTAAGATTGTCAAGTATTAGTAACTATTTTGCCTTAATTTTTATTAAAAAATTCGATTTTTTTTAGCAATCCTGGTCTTGGTCTTGTAACAGTTAAGCGGCCTTGGTCGTGGTCTTGCAAAGTGCAAGACAAAGACCGATTTTGGGCAACGCTCTTTATAACTATAATAATTACGGCAGCAGAAGCCAAAAAATACAACAATTTTCTTAGCTCCGTCCATTACTGGAGCGCTTACACTAATGTAGCTACTTTTTAGTGTTGTTAAGATGGTTGGCTGTGATTATAATATTAGGAAAAACCTGATTTGGGTGCGGTCAAATTAAATAATATATATTATAATATTATTTTGTCGGTTACGCCGACGTTTCGAACCACTTTGTAGGTCTTCATCAGGGCTACAAAAGATTCAAAATATAAAAGGTATAAAGTGAAAATAAAATGAATGAATTATTAGTAGATATTAAATAAGTAACAGTTGGCCGATAAAGAAATAAAATAATTGATAAGATTACATCAGAGATGTATTGGATGATAGTATAGTTAAAATATAATTTACCGTGTATTTATTTATGTTTTAACTATATTATTACCCAATACATCACTGATGTCAATTTGTCAGTTCTTTTATCTCTTTACCAGACAACTATTACTTATTTACTATCTAATAATAATTAATTTATTTTATTTCTTACTGTGTATTTTGTATCTTTTATAGCTCTGATGAAGACTTACGAAGTGAGTAGAAACATTGGCTTACCAATAAAATATCTCCGTAATATATATTATTTAATTTGACCTCACATCTAACGAACTCCTTCTAATAGCAACTTTTTATATTTGTTTCTTAAGAATTCGATTTAAAAAAATCGGAACATCAACAAACTTATTGGTGCATTTATTGGATTTGAACATTATCCCCACATATATTGTTACAGTAAGGCTCGAAATAGGTTTTTTATCAAATTTAAGCTCCTGTCGTGCTCAAATGCTATTGTACCGTTGGATTTAGAATTTCACGGGGACTTAGCGAATCGTATTCTCCGCTTTTGTTCTCCTTTCTAAAATAAATAAATTCGATATGTTTTACTAGACTGTAAGCAAGACTGGAATTGTGGTGATTTGGTAAATCGACACGGGATAAATTAGGATTCAAAATTTTGATTCGGATATCAAGCCAAAAAATGTACCATTTTCGAGACGATGCGAGGCAAAGGGTTCGCATTCGCAGGGATATGTTTTTGTAAAATATATTATAGAAAAAATAAAAACCAGCTGATTATTTAATTACACCCCCCCTCCACTCCATAAAGCAGCACCACTCAGGTTTTCCATAACCGGTCGATGTTGCTGTGACTGCGGCCATTTAAATTGCTAATAAGATCCGAATGTTGACATATCGCTCTGTTGATTCGATGGAAAATCGTTGTTTCGCGACCCTCTCCTTTTCGCTAACCCCCCTCTGCCCGGTTTTCCGATCGAAATGAGCGAATGTACTTTCCTTGTACACTTCCTCAATGTCCCCCGGAATCGAGCACTCTCATACGCCATTTCCTCTGTCAAACCCATCTCGTTCACTCTCGGATCTGAGTCACGGTAATTCTGTTAAGAGACCGTGAAAATTTTCGAATCTCCTAAAAGTTTTACTTTCACTTAGCTATATGTGAAATATAATATAAGTGAAAGTATTGTGATAGTGAGTGAAACATTTCGAATCTGAGGTTTGAAGTCCAAATAACCTATGCTATGAAAATTGTACTAATAAAAAAAAATACAAAATACATAAAAATAAAATACATATTTTGAATAAATATGTAATAAAATAAATAAAATAATAAAAAAAAATAAATAAATAAATAAAAAATACATTTTTGTTTACAATAACTGTAGAATAAAACAAACTTATTTTTACCATCTCCTTCCTTAATAATACAACGGTCAACTATTAAGTATTCAATCAAACTTGTTTTTAATTTTTATTTGAATAAAAAGATTAAAGAAGGTTTTGATGATTTATAAATAATATATAAGAAATAAGTTTCATTAGACCCCTTCGAAAAAATTTATTTAAAAAAAACGGTTCAGGAATAAACTTAATTTCACACTACTTTTTTTTTATATTTAAGTTCCTGTTTAAAAAAACAAAAAGATGGTTTGTCCACCCACACGACTTTCCTACCTATTTCAGAAAGGTTTTATATCTTAACATATGTCCTTCAAGAAACAAAAAAAAATTTAATTGGATTTATTTTCCTGAAAATTGATGAAAGAAAAGATTTGAGTTCGATTTATTTGATAAACTAAAGCAATGTAAACCGGCTTAAGGTAGATCAGTGTAAAAATTTCAATACTCTCTAATATTGCTGATCAAAAAGTTTTGCCACACCCTAATTTTGTTAAACGATAATTTCTGTTAAAAGTAGAGCAAATAGTAAAGCTTGTGTGATGATTCTCAAATTAATCGCTTTTTGACACAAGGATATGAACCCGCAATCTTACTTTGGAAATTGAATAGCTATAACTTCGTTAATAGTTGTCCGAAATGAACGATTTTTATAGTTTTGTAGGTATTTTAAAAAAAACAAAAAAGAAACATGCAAAACCGTGTTTTTGCGGACTCTGAAAAGTATAGATTCGCCGAAAACCGCATATCGAAAATTCGGCCCGATTGCCATATTTTCCTTACCTAGTATAGGTAGGAAAGTAAAAACAGAAATACAACTAAGGTGTTTGCTTTAGATCATACTATTGAGCTATGGGGCTCCACCAAACCTTCAAATTCCTCTCGCATCCAATCCTTACAATCCAAAATCCTTCGTAAAATCCTCAATGCTCCTTAATTTGTTACAAATAAAATTATCCATAATGACCTTAATGTTCCTT